TTTTTGCCATAAAATATACATCTGAAAATGTATGAAACATTTGCACCCAAATTGCACAGAGTGACTTGTGAGAGCATGGGGAATTATAGATCAAAAAGACATTTTCTAAATAACAGGAGACATTTTCTCATGTTGCTTTACTATATAATTGGAGATTATTTTTAAAATTCTGAACTTTTGTGGCTAATTTCTCATCTTTGTGCAGCCAAAACTGATTCCAGCCAATTTCAGCCAGTCTCCTGCTGTACAAGGAAAAACTCATTGAAAAATAAATGTCTAGCTTTCTTACACCACAGTTTTCATTAATTATTTGTATTAAAAGCACATCTTAAATCACAGACAAAATGGTTATGTAGTTCACATTTGATAAGGATTTATTATTATATTAATGATTAAAAAAGGTTAACATTATTAAAACAGCTGTTTATGTGTGAATTTTCTTGGTAATATGACCCCTAAAATAATAGGCATTTACAAAAAAGGGATAACATATTGAAATAAATTGTTTTATAGCAGAGAGAAGTTGAAAGCTTGTAATGTTGAGAACAATTTTGCAGTGAGTCCCTCAGCTTGTTAGCTGTTTGAAAGTCTTTCTGTATTTTGTTTTCCAGCTTCCTTAATGAACTGCACACATTGCTCATATCATGCTGTATCAAATTGATTTTGTGTAACATTTTGATCCCTGCTCTGACTGTCATGATCCACCAGTCGTGATTTTGTTCTCTCTTGAGATTGTAGTTTCGTGTTTTAGTCTTATTAGTGTTTCTCCATATTAGTTTATTCTGTTCCCTGCATTTTGTTTTAGTTTCTTTTGTTAGTGTTAGTTCTTAGCTTCTGGTTAGGTAGATTATGTGTGTTTGATTCAGTTTCTCCTGTGCCCATTATTCAGCCTTCACTCAGTCCCTGCCTAGATTCTCCCCCAGATGCTCTTCATTACGTTGATTGCATTTAATTGGTTTGTAGGCCACAGTCTGTGGCTTCTCCGCAGTATTTGAGTGCTAGTCTTGAGTTTTCTTTCTGTAGTGAAAGCTTCCACACTAAAAAGTCACAATGTATATCATGTGTTAATTGTTTTAAAAAGAACAACAGCATATTTGAGTTTTACCTGAGCTATCAGTCAGGAGCTGAACGAGTTGAAAATCAGCTGATTCCAGTCACTGGATATTTTCTAAATGCATCTTTTACCTCAACATTAAAACGTTTGTATTGTAGCAGCACCATCAAAAAAAATCTGTTGAAAATTGCTATAATATCAACTCATAATTAAGACAAATTTTCTTCATAACAGTGTCTGCACCAAATGGCAGATTGAACACATTGATTGCATGAGCATGACTGCAATTTCATACAGTATATCAACTTGTCTGAACAAGATAAGCAGTTTTTGATGGTGACAAAACCTTATCTTAAAAATGTTGACATTTTTTGGCTCATATCAATCATTAAGGGCAAGTTCTTCGGGTGTTTATGTGACGTGAGACGACACAAGTAAAGAATAATAAAGTCTGAGAGACTTGCAGAAAAGCTGTTTTTCACTCAGTCTAAGGAACAAATGTGTATTTTTGAACTCATTCTTCTAAATACCCACTGTTCTTAAAGCTTGGAAGACCTGAAAGCTAAAGAACCTTATTAAATTCATAAGACCTGAACCGGGATCAAACACATTTTGATTGAAAAGTGAAAACGAGTGTAGATTTCAGCTTAATATGACAAAACTTTAAGCGAATGTGCACAAAGTGGACATTCGCGAAGCTTCAGAGATGTGTCACCTCTGCTACAATAAATCTAAAAATACTGAAGAGATACAGAACCGGATTACTAAGAGCTCTACACTCATTCAAAGAGGTCAATACAGATGAAAAGGGCAATTTTGTTTGGTTAGTTGCTTTGTGCAATAGAGGCTTTTTAAAAAAGAAGAACAACATGCATAGGTCATTGTTAGGCAGAAACACAAAATCTAGTTTGATCTTAAAGCCATCTAGTTTAACTTTTGTGTCTTTCAGATACTGGAAAATGACAGCGAGAACATCTGCACTGCATGGTTCTGAATGTGTTACCCAAAGCTCCACGCTAATATAAAAGCGTGTGACTGCTAGGATAAAGCTGTGAGGATGCAGTGTTACTTTATAAACCTTGTCAACACAGTGTTTAATTATCCATCCAACACAGAGTCATTTGCTTTTCCTTAAAACCAAAGGCCTGTGTGCTGCCCTTTTCTGCACAGTTGCCTGGCAGCCCGGAGGTTTATCCCCTTCTGCGTGGAATTTGCATGTGTGTATCTGTGGGTTCTCTCTTACGGTCTAAAAACATGCACATTTTAAACTTCAATAGCTATATTCATAAAAATGTTGGCTGTGTTTTTAGTCTCCCTGATGCTGTTCATTCACTGAAGTTCTCTAACAAATCTTAGAGACCTTTCAGAACAAAGAGTAAAGTGACCTGAATGAAATGAATGACAGACTTAGTTCTAATTGTAAATGTTTTATTCTTCTTCATAATTTTACTACTAGAAATACAAATCTGAAAAGTGAGTTTACTTGGATACTCTTGAATAGAATCCATTGCAACCAAATGTCTTCAGGAAGTCTCTAAACCAAATAGCATCCAACTGTGTGAAATTTAATCTCAGCATATCTCAGTTTAAATCCAACTGTTCTCTGAATGCCTCAGGGGATTGTTAAAGGACCGTGAACCAACATAATGAAGACCAAGAAACAAAGCAGACACTTCAGGGATAAAGTTGTGGAAAAGTTTAAAATGTAGTTAGACTATAAAACAGGAGGTTATTTCATCGTCATAAAATACCTTTGATCAAAGTATAATGAGTCAAAATGGCCTAAATAAAGTAAATTCATATCTATTTATGGACTGAGATTGAACAGATTTTTAAATCCATTCAAGATGTGTAAGACTGATATGGACACATCCTAAATAACTGGCAACTCAACAGGCTGCGAAACAGGGCTTTGCTAAGTACTGACTCAGTGAATGCATATCATGTTAAACTTTTCTTGGTCTGTATTTATCTTTATCTGTTGTATAATCAACTCGGATCAGCTTCCATTTCTCTGGTGAAGAAAAAAATTCCTGCAGATTGATGCTGTCATCTTTAAATTATTTTTATTTAGAAGAGGGTGACCTTATTGCATTTGTAAAAATAGAAAATCAGCAACAACACACAATTATGCACGACTTTGTCTGTCAAAAAAAATAAAAAAAAAAAATCCCCCAAAAAATCTATTGAAGTTTTGTGGTTGGAAAGCTACCAAATCTGAAAGTCTAATAGTGTGAGTCTGTTTATTCTGGTGCTTCTCACTTTTGCTGAAGTTTATTTAAAAAAAAAAAAAAAATCTGGTTCAAAAACAACATCCATACAAACCAGTATTTATTTTGACAACTAAAAATCTCTAAATCTCCACTGAAAAAAGTTCGCAGCTCACTTCCAAATTTTCCTTTTGCCGTCACATTGACTTTTACAACTTAATGACGTACCCCTTTCCGAACAGTCAGAGCCCTAACACCCAATTGCTAAAAGCCATCTGTAGCAAAACTGAACCTGTAAATATTCAGCTGTGTCTGCAAGGGAAAGTTTATCATTCTTTGTGGTATATTCTGGGAGTTTTCAGACAGGATGGCCATCCTGTGATAAGCCTTTCACATTCGGTGGTAGCCAGAAGGCTACTGAGGCTGCTGGAAACTCTAATCAGTCTCTGCCCACCTGCCTCCATCCTGTTCTTTCAAGTGAGTAACTGATCCACTTCTGGACAGAAATCATATGTTTATTTCCCTTTCTTTCTCGTTGCAAACTTCTGCTCGAAAATTGAATCGGATGCCCTGGGGCAGGATGGAAAATTGTGCAAAAATAACTTATTTTCCCTACACTCAACCTTTTGCTACCCTAATGAATGGCAAAATAAGATAACGGTGGGAGATGCTATTCCACGGCAGCTAGCCATCCTTTCAATTTAGAGCTCATCAATTCATGTTTGCAGTGTAAGTATCAATACTGGAAGATGGTGTGCGACTGCAGGAACATGAATCGCTCATGGAGAAAAAAATTACACTGGACTGTTAAGCAAAACTTCTCCAGACATTAGATCAAACTCATCAAATGCCATGAGGCCTTGTCAGATTGCTTTTTGCACAGCATGGCAGTTCATTTTCACCCAGTGATCTAGTCAGATAAAATGTATTATTTAAGATCATTGATTCAATCATAAATACCCTCTTTGCTGATCAGGGTACATTTGAGCCATGGTCTGGCAGCTTTAACATTGTCACATTTCACTGATGTGTCCCGGATAATTAGCATTTAATCAGCTACAAATATTCTTAATTACAAGCTTAATCTCTAACCAATTAGCCAACCTGCTATTGGTTTTACTCTAACATTGAAGTACACTGAATTCCAATTAGGGAGTAAAAACCTTAATTTACCTAGAGGCCCATCTGATGGGTCATTACCAACCCACTTACTTTCTGTATAAACTGAAGGCAGCAAGAAGCACAGATCCCATAGGACAGCAGCTGTGGAAGATTTATGGCTGGCGTGTGAGGCATTTCCATGCATCACGGGACAATGTTTCTACTTGCTGAAAATAACAGAGTCATACTGATGATTCACTAATGAGTATATGACGTTCAGCGACATTGCAAGATCCGGAAACTAAAATATGCATTGGATTCGATCTCAGTTTAGTTCACTTACTGGGTGTTCAGTGTGACATTTGTTAATATAAAATTTAATGTTGCTAGTCAGTAATTTAAAATTTAATTCAGTACAAGCACAAAGAGCATTAGCATTTTATTAGTCAGGAGTAACAAACCCACATATCCAGGTCACTTCTGACTCAAGCGTTTCTGAAGTTGTAATTTGGCCCATAAAAGTCTGGACTTATTAATCTTGTGTGATCACAGATTGTTTTAAATAAAGCTATTTATTTGAAATAAACAAAATAGTAACTACGTGCAAGTCTCAAAGACGTCTTAGTGGGTCTTACCTGCCCTGTACCTTGATGTCAGATATTGCGTAGAAGTATCTGGATAAATTGTTCTCATCCACCATGGTGGCTCCAGTAGCTGGCTTTAGTAGTCTTATCCTCAGATCTGTGATTGTGAAGAAATCTCTCAGGTTCTTAGTGGTATCCAGCTGACCGTATAGTGAAGCCATGTTGTGTAGCCGAGGTCCAGCAAATAGAGCGAAGCGGTCCTTTATCTCAAAACGTACGGTCTTGTCGTTCTTCCACACATAGCCTCGAGAGTATTCCTCAGTACAAATGATGTCCAGCAGGGTGCGCTGGGACAGGTCGTTCACTGTCTTGGGTTCCATGGTGAAAGCATCCAGGCAATCAGTGGCGTAGAACTGGTAAGGGGTCCAAGTGCGACCGTAGTCGAGCGACTTCTCCAGGACCATCTGCTCCGGCCGGCCTGACTCAAAGGTGATAACGATGTCATCAGTTAGCTCAATTGTCTTGTTCCAGGACAGCGTAATGTTGACTTGCAGAGGCTTTGGGTATTTCTTCCAAGATGTCGATTGCCAGAACGTTGTGGGATTTCGACCTTCAAAGTCAAACATCAACTCAGGAGGATGAGCCAGTTCCTCAGTTGCAGCATCGCATTCGTTGTTGCACATGTAAGGATTCTCCTGAACGAAAACACAAGAAAAACAAAAGTAAGTGAATTGTTCATAATGTTCATTTGATAAGGACAGATACAAGAAAGATAGATCAAGGTAATCCAATCTCTGTAATTTCTGTCTCACAGGGACCTGTATCACTTTTTAACACAATAATTACATAAAGAGTTAAAATAATTTCCTCTGCTTCATGTTAGTGCTGATACTGCTAAGTTTGACCTAAATGCAATTTTTACCAATGCTTTTGAGTTTAATAAATGCAATGTTGGGAAAGATTTGAGTTAAGTTTATAGAGATTAACATGGAATTAAAAAATATTTTTGACATCAGATGAAGAAAAAATTGATTTGAATGAAAATGGAATCTGTTACTTTATTGTCATGGGGTAATATTGATTCTGGGGGGTGTATATATATATTACGAATTTTAGAAGTTTGAATGGCCATGTTTAGATGTCTTTGATGAAGAAAGTGGTGAGGAACTATGAACTGTTCCTTCAGCTATCTGAAAAGAACATATGTGACGACTCAGCAAACTAATAAAAGATTGATAAGAATTGATCAGAGCAGAAGTGAAAACAACCAAAACCCGAGGCTCACGTTCAAAAACTAAAGTTTTAATTTGTCAACGTGGCATGTTTAAAAAAAGAAAACAGAAGATACATTTTTGTAGCAACAGGAAAGAATACTGAAACATAAAATTACACAAAAGTAATGACATTTTTTGTCATTTAAACTCACACTAAATATTGTTCACTGTTCCTTTGCCTTGATGGTTTACAACTCTGCTCCACACAATTTCTATTCCATTAAAACCCATGTGCATGTCATAATCTAGCAATGTCATTTCTAAGGCTGCAGGAGATGGTGACCCTCTCATTGAGATGATACTGTGGATACCGTATTCCTGATGAGCACAATTCCAGCTCCAACCTGCCCCACAAATTGCCTGTGTAATTGATATTCTTGTGTGGTATTTCAGCTGGGATAGGAATGGAATCCCGATGAGTATTTCTTATGAAACACGCAAAGGGACATGCATTTTTCATGGGCCCGTGCTTGGTTTCTGCCATAGACATCCAGCGAGTTTGGGTGTTTGTGCGATCGAGTTTACGGGTAGAGAGAGCTGCGCTCTTGATGTGTTTGTGTTTGTTTGTGACAGGGATAGAGAGCTCTGGATGCGTTTGCCCATATGTGTGCACACAAGCAGTATGTATTTATGTGTGTGTGGGTACGGACAGGGTAGCAAAGGAACGATGAAAGAGCTAGAACTGAATTGGGGGCAGAGACCGCAAGGCTCCTTTCTAAAGACATTCCTCTCACCTTTTGGTCCATGAATAATGAGGTTAAGTACCAGGAAGATTCATATCAACTGTAACATGGTTCAATAATGAGCAATGATCTGGTACTAATCTCTGAAAATGATTGAAAGAGGAGAAACTGTCAGATTGTTAAGAAATTATCTGATTCCTCTTTGCCCCCCCCCCAAAAAAAAAAAATCACATCAAATTCCCAAAAAATATTTTCACTTTTAAAAAACAAAGTGCCTAAATATCCACTCTAAAATATTACTAAGTATATATTCTAATTCTACCCAGTAGCCTAAAACTGCCTTATGAAAGTTTGAAGACTTAATAAATGCTACAAACAAATGCCTATAGTCAGATCGATCTATCTATCTATCTATCTATCTATCTATCTATCTATCTATCTATCTATCTATCTATCTATCTATCTATCTATCTATCTATCTATCTATCTATCTATCTATCTATCTATCTATCTATCTATCTATCTATCTATCTATCTATCTATCTATCTATCTATCTATCTATCTATCTATCTATCTATCTATCTATCTATCTATCTATCTATCTATCTATCTATCTATCTATCTATTGTGGATGAGTTGTTGCCTCCATCTCATGGCCTACGATGGCTTTAGGTCAGGCCCACATTACATTTTTATCTGAAAAGACTAGTGGTTGCAAAATTTTTATTTCAGAAATAAAGAAAAATATTTTAAGGTTCATCTTTCTCTGAGAAAATGACATGAAAACTATTTATAGATACACATCTCCAGAGTCTGTTTCATTTCCTATGCTGTGCTATCACCAACTTACTCTTCAGCCTGAAGAGATATAGCTGTGCTATCAAGAAGGACAAGACAGCAAGATATTGGTTCAGCTGACTCAAAGGAGCATAACATGATCCAATTAGAAGGGTAATGAGGGTTATGCTGCTAAGAGAGAATGTGAGAATAAGAAAGAGTGGGAGGTAGTGTGAATGTAAACCTTTTTAAGGAGCATCTCAGTTGCTAAAAGTATTCTCCTTTCACGCCCATGCACTCCCACAGACATTCAACACTAACCCAAAGCTTAAAAGGCCACAGTGCAGCCTGAAACCAAAAACAGAAAAAAAAGAGATTTCAAAATAGAGAGTTAAGGGGTAATAGGGAGAATGGTGAATTTATTGGTTTTGCTGAAGGGACAATAAATTGTTCTCAGTTTACTGACAATGTGTTGCTGAGGGTCATTACAGTCACTGCTTTAGGTCTCTTAGAGAAGTTGATGGTACAGAGAAGGAGGAAAAGATGGAGCTTGTGAGAAGCACTGATTTACCTGTTGTTATTCGAGAGCATGAATTTTCAGTTATCTCTTTTATTGGTTCTTTGGTTTGGTTTTGTGAACAGTGGGGTGGCTGCCTTCACATCAGCCGAGGAAGGACTCTTATTCACAGATGCTATGAAGAAGTGTGCGACAACAGCATCAGAGGATAATGGGTAAGCAATTTTCTAACAAAACAATGAGAAGAGCAGTAAATAGAAGCTCTAAGCAGCAAAGTTTCACCAAACATATCACCATGTTTGGTGAATAAAGCAGCAGAAATAAATCCCAAACATTTTCTTGTTGAGTACAGCGACTTCAAACCTTTGGGGAAGCATATCATGTATGGTGCTTATTTGCTACTCCTGAACTGCAGCATACTGTTATGCCTTTATACAGTCTAGTTTATGTGAAATGGGAGATTGAGAGAAATGTCAGCACCTTTTAGCAGATATCCTGTGGTGGTTATTTAACAACAAAAACAGTGCCCTATAAAGATCAATACCTTCCATGGTCATTTAAGACCAAGGCCTTCAGTGCTCTGCCAGGGGGCAGCTATTGAAAAACAATAAACCCTCTCAACTTGATCCTTTACCTGTGATCGTGGCTGTGGGAGAGGGGAAAAGTCAGTGGAGGATGTGAAAGAGGCAAGAATTTTGGACCAAAATGAAATATCGACCAGCTGAAAAATAGACTTGACCTTAAAAATAAAGATCTGACATGCATTGGAATGTTGCTAAAGGGTTAGCTAAGCATTTCTTACAACAAAACACCAAATTTATGACGTTATGTAACTGTTATGAAATGAACATGCTGAAATATATATAGCTATATATAAAAATTGTGTCCTACAAAGATATTTAATGTGTTTTATTAGGATTTTATGGCATAGGCCACCAGATTAGAGACCAGATCAAATTAAAAATATATTTTAAATATAACATCCTTTAAGTGGGATGTAATATTTTAATGTTATTTCTCTATTTGTGACAGTAAACAACAGAAATTGATTACGTTAATCAAGGAATTTATAATCATATGCTGTTAAACGGTGACCAAATAAAGTATTCAATAGTTACCTACAGTAATAACCAGTTAATAAAATTGCAGTACTGTAACATTGATAAAGTAATAAAGTAACTGCATCTGCATTTTTACATAGTCAGATTACATTTGCTAATGATAAAATAATCACATTTTACCAGGACAGTTTTAGGTTTACATAAAAGATAAATTTTTTACACCTTTTCTTTATTTAATTTTCATTGATTGGTTTTATATTTTTTAATTTTTCTCGTTTTTGGCGAAACCTAATTCCTCCTTGGTTTCTAGTCAGTATCATTCTTTTAATTTTGATCTATCTTTATTTTACCTGCACTCTAAAAGCCAATAGGCACATAGAAAGACAATCCATTTTATACCCAGTAATATATCTCCTTGCTATTCACACCAATTGACATACAGATCATGCCACTTATTGTGAACCTATTAATGGCCTGTGTCTTATTGGTAGTAGTGACATCTACATTCCTCCAATGACTGCTGTGTCATAGAGCCCAGCTGGTTTTATCTAAGCAACATGATCCATCCAGGGTGTCTGCTTGGTGCAGAAGACCTGAGCAGTGAATCTGCAGCTGCTTGCAGCTAATGATGTCCTGATCTGCAGCCCATAAGGTCAATCCAATATCAGGATTTGAACAAGAGGGCAGCGGCAGATACAGGAGCTGTGATTCTTAATGTCATCTACTAGAATGTAAAGCAATCTGGACACTCATCCATTCATATTGCCATGAAGGCTTTGTGGGTGTTAAGTACCTTTCATGGTACTTAACACTATGAAAGGTATTAAGAATGTAAAAATATGATACTTTTATTATGATTTAATCAGCGTACCATACTAGCTTAGTACAAAAATGAGTGTAATATTCATCATGTATACTGCATGTAATATTCAGCTCTTTACATTCATTGTGAAAGAGTAAATATTATTTTACCCCTTACAGTAAAAGGTTTTTTTTTATAGCAGTTAAATGTTTTAGATAGCCAAACTAATCAGAATATCCAATGAGGTTATCAAACACATAACTTTATTTATTAAGGGGAAACAGAAAAAGCCAATCCAAATCAACTCACAACTCAACTTGTGTGACAATATATTCCTCTCCTTCTGTGATTCCTCTGTGGCTGAGAGTAGTTGTTCCCTCCAGACCAGAGGTGTTGCTAGATTAATCAGCCCATCATCTTGACCGGCCTTACACCTTCTAATCTGCCACATGACACCTGCCGACCTGTCACTGGCCCACACTCTATCTCCATCACACCTTTGGATGCTTGTCCTCATTCATGGGATGGGCTGGCTGGAGAGGGAGGATATTTCACAAGTGGCTATTCAAGCAGCTGTTGG